GGTGAAGCCGACGGAACGCTTCAAGAAGTTTGAGTTGCCGGAGGAGGCCCAACAAGCCTTCCATCAGCTCATTCAGTCGTTCACATCAGCAGGAGTACTTCAGCACTTCGACTACCACCTTCCAACAAGGTTGGAGACCGATGCAAGTGACTTTGCTATAGCAGGGGTTCTCAAGCAGGAGCATGAAGGACGATGGCACCCAGTGGCCTTCTACTCCAGGAAGATGTCTTCTGCCGAGAAGAACTACGAGATCCATGATAAGGAGCTCCTAGCTGTGGTCGCCTGCCTCACTCAGTGGCGACACATGCTAGCTGGACTACCTAGTCAACTAGTCATCCTCACGGATCATGAAGCCCTCAAGTACTTCAAGTCCCAGCGACGCATCACTGGCCGACAGGCTCGATGGGCAATGATACTAGCAGACTTCGACTTCATCCTGCAGTATCGACCAGGAGACAAAGGTGGTGAACCCGATGCTCTCACCAGAAGGGCAGACATGCAACCAGCTGGTGAGGAGCAGGATCACAATGTGAGGCAACTGCTGCCTCCTCGGGTGTTTACGGAAACAGCGGACCATGACTCGACCCTAGTGGCTCCCATGCTCTCGATGGAGTCCATAGCATCGAAAGGGCTCAAAGACCTGGTCAAGATCTTCCAGCCCTTAGATCAAGAGCTACAGGAGATACACTCGAAGAAGCCCTTCGAGCTCAAGGACGACCTATGGTACAGTGGAGGAAGGTTAGTCATCCCCAAGGTGACCATGCCAGGGAGGACTAACAACCGACACTCAAGGAGTGCCAAGGAAGTAGATGGACAGTCTCTCTCTGTAGAGCACCTGCGATTCATGGTGATGACCCAATGCCATGATGGTGTTACTGCCGGACATGTAGGAAGAGATGCTACCATCAAGGCAGCTCAACGGCACTACTGGTGGCCAAGCATGACAGCTTGGATTGCTGACTATGTAGCTAGCTGTCCAGTTTGTGCGAGGTACAAAGCTCCTCGTCATCGTCCGTATGGTCTTCTACAGCCACTTGCCACACCAGACAGGCCCTGGGGCTCGATATCCCTTGACTTCATTGAAGGACTACCACCTTCAAAGAACTATGACTCCATCCTCGTCATTGTCGATAGGCTGACCAAGTTTGCCATCCTGGCCCCAACCCATAAGACAGTCACGGCCAAACAGACTGCAGTGTTGCTATATGGACACATGGTTAGACTCTTCGGATACCCTGATCACATGGTCTCGGACCGAGGCAGGCAGTTCATATCAGGAGCATGGAAAGCCTTTGCAGAGCAGATGGGTGTGAAGCACTCACTTAGCACGGCTTATCATCCTCAAACTGATGGTCAGACAGAGAGGGTCAATCAGGTCGTGGAGCAGTACCTAAGGATGTACTGCAACTATGAGCAGAACGACTGGGCAGACCTGCTGGACACTGCAGCCTTTGTATACAACAACACGGTCCACAACAGCATTGGTGTCTCACCATTCTTTGCATGCTATGGATGGAACCCCAAAGCCCATCCTGACATCCCTCAACGACTAGGAGTCAATGATCCAGGTCGCTTCGAGTACCTCATGGATGGGAAGGAGCGTTGCAAGTATCTTCAGGAGCAGATCAGGGAGGCACAGCGTCGGACGGTGGACCAGTATAACAAGAAGCACAAGGACATCGAGTTTAAGGTGAGTGATATGGTCTATATCAACCGCCGGAACTGGAAGACCAGGCGACCTACACCAAAGCTGGATACCCGGTTTGCAGGACCCTATCCAGTCCAGGAACGAGTAGGACGCCGAGCATACAGGATCACATTGCCAGCAAACCTTAGGGTTCATGATGTGTTCCATGTCTCCATGCTCGAGCCAGCAAAGACTAGCTCACTTCCTCACAGGACAGACCAGCCAATCATACCATCACTTCCTGATGAAGACCTCGACTTCGAAGTAGAAGCACTCATTGACAAGCGCTCATTCAATGGGACTACGGAGTACAAGGTGTTGTGGAGAGGGTACTCAGAGGAAGCTGCTTCATGGGAACCAGTAGAGAACCTCAACTGTCCCGACCTCATCCAGGAGTATGAGGTGTCGGAGGGGGGACGAGTGAGCAGAAGAAGGAGGAGAGAGCAGGAGGAGGAGTAAAGGAGGAGAGAGCAGGAGGAGGAGTAGGAGGAGAGGAGCTAGTATGAACCAGACACAGAAGCATGACTAGCCTCAACGGAGCTCGGCTCTTAAGAGGGGGGTAGTGTCATAGGCCTTAGGACACGGGCATGGAGGTTCATAGAAGGGGAGCATAGAGTACCAAGGCTCGGGTCATAAAGGAAGACCACCATAGCAGGCCTAAGGATGGTTGAGCAAGAGGCCGGAGGCCTAGCTGGAGAGTAGTAGCAGGCGTAGTGGGAGAGCAACTTGACCGGCCTGTATGCAAGGAGGTCCAAGCACGTCATGGAGGACCGGCCTGTATGCAAGGAGGTCCAAGCACGTTATAAAGGACCGGCCTGCTGACAAGAGGTCACTGGTAACCGGCAAGCAGCTCATAAGGAGGAGGAGCAGTGTCGATGGAGTCGACACAACTCATGAGGAAGAGGAGCAGTGTCGAAGGAGTCGACACAACTCATGAGGAGGAGGAGCAGTGTCGAAGGAGTCGACATAGCTCATGAGGAGGAGGAGCAGTGTCGAAGGAGTCGACACAGCTCAAGAGGCACAGGGGTGCCAAGCAGGAGAGGCCCCTGAGCAGTACTCGATGAAGAAGGCACTCTCTGGAGAGAGAGCAGGAGCAGCATCGCTGGCGATACTGTGAAGAGGTATATAACCATGCTTTCTCATCATCAAAGGTCGAGTGGATCCTCATCCACTCTACTCACCATATAACTAGTCAATACTTAGAACACAAGTACTCATTAGTTAGCAGTCAGCATAGCAGCAATCCATCAAGATTGCTCCTCATCGTAGTGCGTGTGTTGTATCACCACTACCTGACGATCCGTAGGCGCCTATAGCAGGTAGCGGTCCGGATATAGATAGAACCGAAGGCAGTAGTCCACTGCGGTCCGGGGATCACTCAGCATTAGTCAGCACACTGGACACTCGTGTTGACGCGACCAACCTCACCACCAATCTCATCGACATTCACCAACAACCTCATCATCATCAACACCAACACCAGACCCCATAACATTGATATCGATCGTGCCGAGCTACCCCTGAGCGGAGTGTCCACAGAGGTCAGCCGAAACCTACGATAGTATATACAACGAACGCCACCTGCTGTCGCTGCACAACTTGATAGTCACCGATACCGAGACAATAGCTGTCACACAGTTTGATAGTCACCGAGTATCTCGACAGACAGATCTGGGTTTCAGGCGCGCGACCCCTGACACCTGGCCCTCCTCGCATATGGGCTCGGTGCTCCTTTGCATGTGAGTCCATAGGAGTCCATGGTCTCCATGGAGACTGCACTACGACCATGCTCTCTACTGGTATTGACTAGATCTCTGATACATGTGCTCCTTCCATATGAACCAGTGACCCTCCTGCTTCTTGAGCATTCAGGCCCATGACATTCGGCCTCCTGGATGGGTACAAGCCTCTCACTCGGCCCATCTTCATCCACTACCTACGCCAGGCCATTGCACGCCTCGGCCTTGATGACAAACTCTATGCTGGGCACTCCTTCCACTGCGGGGCAGCCACGTGGGCTGCCTCCCAAGGAATTGATGCTGAGACGATCAAGTTGCTCGGTCATTGGAACTCCGACTGCTACCGATGTTACGTCAATTGATCTGCTGCAGAGCGGCGAGCCATGGTCGCATCAGCACTCTTCAGCACATGCCATGGGCCCCACATCCCTCCGGGTGACTTGTGGCGCAACCCAGTTCTCTAGCTGGGCAGACCCCTGGCCCATTGGCATGACTGCTACCTGCTGTGTGGGCACCACGCCAGTCTCTGGTGGGCCGGGAGCCTCTTGAGCTCGAGGACCTCATGGGTTCTTGCCTGCAATTCACAGCATTTCTGTTCTCTCGTGCTGTTGTGTTTCGACGGGCAAGTCAGCCGGGATGCGAAACAATAATAACTGCACCACAGCAGGTTCAAGCAGTGCTGCACAGGTCATGTGGGAATGATAAAGTTGACGCAGCCATTCAACGCAAATCTGGATGATTAAATCTGCCCAATTGACATTTGCGCTGGCCAAGGTCAAGCGGTCCCGTCACCGTGAAGGTCGGAAAAGTGGAGGCAAAGATGCAAGCGCCGCACTCCCTGATCAGGAGAAGCCAGCTTGTCACATCAAGCGCCGTTTCTGATTCCCGAAAGCTCGGCAATCTAATCCTAAGTACATCAATCCCGCATTCTGCCTGAGCTCCCTCATGACTGTCTGACTATGCTACGTTGCGATGCTGAACATGCCGCCAAGCTGTTCACAAGCTTTTGTTCCTGGACTCGTGTCTAAAGCGAGAGACGTCAGATGGGGCCGAAGCAACCGCCTGATCGCGGAACGGTTCCTTTTCCCAGACCGAACTGGGCCGCATTTCTGAGATTGCCGCGAAGGACAAGATTGCCGTGTTGGCGTCCGTGAGCGAATGGAAGAATAGAAAGGGTCCTCGGTCAAATTTGCAGCTTTGCTCGTCAAACTGGTCAAGACCTGTCCCCGCTTGCACGCACAAGCCAACACATGGATTTGCTCGCTTGTGTTGCAAAGACCCTGACTCGGCGCTTTTCTTCTTGATGCTGTGTGATGATGCTCCGGGGAGCATCGCTCATTGGTTGGGCCCTACGTCAGTCAGTGCTCGCAACCTACTCGTTCGTGTATCCAATCTCTCTATTGCTATCTCGCATTTCGATGGGGATGAGAGCTTCTTCTTGTCCGATCAACACCTTCGTTTCCTCGACCTTCTCTTGCTCCATTCCCGACTCCTCATAAACTCGCCCTGTTGCGTTTCGTGACCGATCTCACCCATACTACCAAGAACGCATCGACACAGGACAAGCAAGCAAGATGGCTGGCATCAACCCATACGCTGCTCGTTCCGAAGAGTCCACCAAAGCCCTGCGCAAGGATGGCTTCCAGCACCCGCCCCAGCTCACCAACGAGCCTATCCGGATCCACCCCCACTCCCTCACACTTTCTCGTTCCACGCCGTTGGTGAGCGACAAGCTCTACTCTGGCTTTGTCGAGCATCTCGGTCGAGGTATCTACGGCGGTATCGTCGACGATCCCAAGAAGCCCAGTCCTTCTTCGATCCTAGAAGTTCAGGACAAAGGCGACGAGCGCACCAAGGGCCGTCTCGCATGGAGAAAGGATGTCGTCAAGATTCTTGCCAAGGACGGCCAACTCGAGATGCCCATCCTTCGTTGGCCAGGCGGCAACTTTGTCAGCAACTACCATTGGCAGGACGCGATCGGTCCCATCTCGCAGCGTCCCAAACGTGTCGAGCTGGCTTGGCTTTCCACCGAGACCAATCACTTTGGTACCGACGAATTCATCGACTACTGCCGCGAGCTCAAAGTTGAGCCCTACTTCTGCATCAACATGGGCACCGGAACTTACGAGGAGGCACTTTCCTGGCTCGAGTACTGCAACGGTACCGGTGACACTTACTGGGCCAACCTTCGTCGCAAGAACACAGGTCGTGACGAGCCGCACAACGTCAAGTACTGGGGGCTCGGAAACGAGATGCACGGCCCATGGCAGGTCGGCTTTCTCAACGCTACCGATTACACCAAGATGGCCAAGAGATGGGCACACGGCATGAAGCTCGTCGACCCTACCATCAAGCTCGTTTCGTGCGGAAACCAAGGTAACTCGGAATGGGATCGTGAGGTTCTCAACGGTTTGATTGGCGTTGTAGACTTCCACTCAATACACCTCTACTCGATGCTGGGCCACGAGCACTATAGCACTGTCCAAGGTTTCGATTATGAGAAGAACGTCTTCGGTCCTGCTGCAGCGGAGCGAGGTATCGAGATCTGTGCTTCGCTCATCGACCTTGCCAAGATCGATAAGGCGCAGTCGTTGCTCGACTGGAACAACCGTGACCAGAAGGTGGCAGCTCGTGACGTCAAGATATGCTACGACGAGTGGAATGTCTGGGACGAGGTCAAAGCTCCTGGCTCGCAGGGTCTCGAGCAGGCTTACGACTACACCGATATGCTTGGTGTCGTTGCATGGCTCAACATCCTCGTCCGCAAATCTAAGGATGTCGGTATCGCATGTATTGCACAGAGCGTCAACGTCATCTCTCCTCTGATGACAAGCCCCGAAGGTCTCCTTTTCCAAACCACTTACTGGCCTCTGCGCCTCTTTGCTCGTTACATGAAGAATGGACGGCTCCTCAACCTCGGCTTCACTCCTGACTCTTATGAGGGACCTACCTATCCTGAATGGATTCAGCACATCACTAAGCCTGCCTACGTTGACTGCGTCGCCATGATTGTGGAAGAAGAGGGTTCCAAGCATGCCAGCATCCGTCTCAGCGTTCTCAACCGACACCCCACCGCTGACTGGAATGGAAAGATTGACTTTGAAGGTTTCGAGATCGAGAGCGTCGAGTCGCACATTGTCTACAGTGATGATCTTTTGGCCAAGAACACGTTTGAGAAGCCTGAAGTGGTTGTTCCCAAGATCACCAAGTACAGCGGCAAGGAATGGGCTGAGAAAGGCTCTCAGCCAATCAGGAAGCACTCGTTTGCTTTCTTCATCTTCGAGGGAACCGTTCTTTAGATAGATTCGACAACTTTGTAATTGTAATCACCCAACGTTGCCTGAACAGGCATTGCGAGCACAGATGGGGTATTGAAAACAAGAAATGACAGTAGAATGCTACAAACTGAGTGTGTCGGATGGAGCTCATCTCCAAGACTGAAGAGATAGCGTCTGAGCAGGCGGTCACATCAAGACGTGTCAGCAAAGCGTAAAGGTCCGAACGAAGGCTGTGACTAGGCATCGGCGAGACTGCGATTGTCATAGGCGCCGCTAATGAGCTTCAGACTTTGCTCCATTTCTCTTCAGTCACGGTGGTGATGGCGATTCTGCTAACGTCAGGAGCGTGTCGGAGAGGATTGTGAGGTTGCATCACGCGCTGAAGCGCAACGGTCTCGTGTGATTCGGCATCACGAGCTGCCAGGTCCGAGTCGCACGTAAGAGTTCGAGCACGGGCGTCCTGGCCCTCATGGCGATGCTTGAGAGTAACGACATGATGCTCGAGCTCGGCCAATTCAATCTGCGACTGGTTGTGAGTCTTGTCGACTTCCTTATCGTCGTCCGTGTCAAAGCTTCGCTGAGTGGTGAGGAACTTGTTCAACGTTCCTTAACTGCGGAAGGTATGCACATGGTTCGAAGCCATCTTCTGTCGATTTCGGTCGGCCCAAATTGCTGGCCAGAGTGTAGCTGTTGAGGTTGTCGAAAACGCGATAAATGATGGACACAAAAAGATGGGTGAAAAAAGCGTCGTCAGGAGTCGCTGGATCAATGTGAGAAGCAGGCAATCGAAACTTACCGAAAGCCGCGCTGATGGCTGTCAGCGGCACAAAGGTTGCAAAGACGCAGCCTTCAATCCAGGGCTTCTACAAAAGAGCCGGCTTTACAATGAGGGTAACGAGCTGGAAAGACGGAATGAGGAAGGAGGCCAGGGCGCTGATCAAGATGCGTCGGAGCGTTTCGAGGAAGTTGCGAGAGACGCGCTTATGCTCACGCCAGCCCCATCCGAGCTCGTACAGCTCGAAGCAAAAAAGACGGTGCAGTAAAGCTTAACCGCTAGCATGAGGCTCCATTCGGTAAGCGCCCACTGTTCCTTGTTGACTCGGACAACAATGTCAGGTATGTCGGTGGCGACGAGGCCTCATTTATAAACGAAGTGAACGTAGTAAACGTAGTGGAGATTTGGAAAGAAACGGGCTGCTCATACCTTCCCGGACGGACCTAGGTTCTTTCCTCTGCCCTTAGCCTCTTATAACATGTACTTAGTCCCGCTCTTGATCAGGAATGTACAAACTACAGTTGTCCCCATGGTAGTGAGCTGTGCAAACGCAGCACCATCTGTGCGGAAGCTGGCGACAGGCGTAAGGGAGCGACTTTCGAACGAAAAGGTTGTCCTCCTGGCAACGATTGGCAGACACGGGCCACAAGCATCGAGATGAAGGTCCGCCCGTCGCGTGCGAAATCAGCTGCACACCTCCGAAGGGGTTGCTAAAGTAGATTCCACTGCCAGCATTTTGGAGGGAAGATTTTCGACAGAAACGGTCAGTTGAACGGCGATCCTGCTTGCAAAAACCTCGTGGGAAAGAATTGCATGCAGACCTTGCAATGATTTCGACAACGACAAGGGTGGTGGGTGGCACTTTTGCTGGTGTCGTCGAGGCGCTCACGTGTGGCTGCAGCAGCAAAGCAGTAAAAGCATGTGAGCTCTAGTCCGATCTCACATGGACGCCAGCTTGGCTCACTCAATTCCGTACTATATTGCCCGGATCGACTGTCGCGATAGACCTTGGCATACTGGCTATCAGACATCTGACATAGTTTCCCTGCTATGTTCCAGCCTTATCATCCTTGTATCATATATGTATACACAGAACACTAGAACATAAATATACTGGTCATTATCTTGTACTTAGTTCTCATACATTATTACAATCGATAATTGTGATCAACGCTATTTATCGCACGTACTGCAACAAAAGCGCCTTAATTGAAGATAACAATTAATACATGGCATTATCGGGGTCACGATCAGACTCCCTTTACAACAGCCATATGTTCTATGTAATGCTTAGTTTTCATAGTGTGAACCTAAATGACAAACACATATATATACTCCATTCCCCACTCTAGTCCTATCCGAGACAGGACATGTCACTTCATTCATACTCCTGTGTTGCTATGATACTGAGTGCCACTGAGCTGTCACCATGACAACAATCATGTACCTCATTGTGCTTCTCACTTAAGTAAGCCTCCTGTGCCTCGGTGTCTCGGCCGTGACACGTGCATCTTGCTTGGGATGCCGACGCATCTTCAACTGCCTTGCAGCGGCCCATCCGATCTGGTCCCTGCATAAGCTGTCAAGAAAACTAAAATAATAATAAATAAATAAAAGATAAATAAAATAAAATAAATGAAAACACCCCTCAAGTTTATTTTACGCTCAAGCCACCTTGGACACATCGATTGTTCCGCGGTTTCCTCCCCCTCTCTCTCCCTCCATCCTTCACACTGTCACCTTGTTCATTGCCTGTCACTGTGATTCGAAAAAGAAGCAACACACGAACTCCGACAAGCTATATCCTCACTTCAATCCAAGCCCTGGAAGCGTGTTGCATGGTGACGGTTACCAAGCCACTTGACCACGGTCCGGTACAACGAGAGAAGCTCTCCAGCCTTCCCGCGTAGATCGCTGGCAATCCAGAAGGTCTACCAACCACGGCCTCCGTTCAAGCACGCCTTTGTCGTTCCTGGATCGTCGTTCTGACTTGTTCGGCAGTTCGGATCTTGCTGCATCAGGACCACAAGCGTTGCTGCTTATCGACTTGGGCGCACGCCGTTGCAATCACCACGCCGTTTGCGAGCGTGAGGAGACAAGGCAGCAATCTTGGAGACACTCATGCTGGTCCTTGGAAACAGCATGGAAGTTGGCGCAGATTCGTTTCGTCAGGCGTTACGCCAAGCACGGCACCCAATTGCCCTGGCTGGTGCAGGTCTGAGTGCCGCCAGTGGCATTCCCACCTTTCGAGGAGCTGGAGGTACGTCTTCTTACAACTTTGCTGACGACAGGCTCAGTCTGTTCTCTCGACCTGACCTTATTCCACACCTCACTTTATGCCTGCTGGATGCCATCTCTTCCGTGTGATCGTACCTGCACTCTAGGCCTATGGCGTCAGCATGATGCACTGTCTCTTGCAACACCGTGAGTAGCCGCCATCTGCCCTTTGCTGCCGACTTGTTGCAACATTTCATCGCAACCTCTTCTGACAACCGAATGGCATTGGCTATTCCTATGCCCTGCTTTCCCAGTGAAGCGTTCAAAAGAGATCCGAGCAAGGTCTGGCAATTCTACCACTATCGAAGATCCGTTGTCATTTCAGCAGCGCCCAATGCCGCACACTTGACCATCGCCAAATTGCTGATGGACTCCAACTCGCAGCTGAAATCCGTCCGCAGTCGGATCATGCCGAACGCACAGTCTTTTCACCTCATCACCCAGAACATTGACGGCTTATCCGCTCGAGCTTTGCAAGAGGTTGTCTCTGACTCTTCCTCTACAGAAGCAAAAGCCTCCATCAGAGCAGCCACAGACTCGATCATCGAGATGCACGGCAACCTCTTCAAGACTATCTGCACCAACTGTGGCGATGCTCATTTCGACAGGCGCCAGCCCCTTTCTGAAGACCTGGCTGGCACCGAAGACCTCTCTGGCCAGTACAAGGCGATACCCACGGAACGCTTGCCGCGTTGTACCAAATCTGCTTGTGGCGGCTTGCTCAGACCAGGAGTCGTATGGTTCGGCGAGTCCATACCTGAACTCGATCGCATTCAGCCGCTCATCTCCCGATGCGACCTCATTCTCGTTCTTGGCACCTCTTCCGCTGTCTATCCCGCAGCTGGATTTGCAGATAGGGTCAAGCACACCAACAACGGCAAGGTGGCTGTCTTCAACATTGATGATCCTTCGACAACGTCTTCTGCCGATGACGACCTTGATTGGTACTTTGCAGGTCCAATCGAGAAGCTTCTACCTGAAGTTCTTCTCAGTCTTTGATCCTTGACACACGCTCAGTACAGATCAATCACCTACGCACACAGGCACACACAGACGGAACAACGACATCGAATGAGAGTAGATCCAACTACTTTCTAGTGTTCCACTACACTTTGCTCTTCAGAGCTCAAGGTTGGTCTTGCCCATGTCCTGGATCCAGGGTCGGAAAAAGCCGTCGACCGTCTCCTTGCTCTGGTACTCAGTCCATGTCGGGTTGGTCAGACCCCAGCTGTCGTTGTTAAACACGACGTTCTGACGAATGTGGTAGCTTCCAGCAAGAGACCAATGCGCCCAGCCGATCTTGTTCTTAGTGGTAAAGTCACGCAAGCACTTCTGCATAATCACGTTGCCGTAACTCGAGTCCTGTGCATCACCAAACTCGGTCAACAGAGTCGGCAAGGTGATCTTGGCAGGAGGGCAGCTGTTAGGGTCGGAGAAGTCGGTCGAGTTGTTGCAAGAGTCTGGGCGAGCCGATTCGCCAAGCGCGTTGAAGCCGAAGCGGTAAAGTCCTGCTTGGATCGCACCGCAGTTTTCGAGGTGGTCCTGGTAGTAGGTCGACATCTTGTACGCATGCAGCTCGAGCACAGCCTTGTTGGCCTTGCCAAACTTGGTGTTGGCGATATCGGCGTAGACGGGAGGAAGCGACTCGGCATTAGCCACCCTGTCCATGTCGGTGTTGACGTAAGGAGCGGTATACAGGTTAGCTTGAGTGGTGAGGGCAGAGAGATCAATGTCGTAGTCCAAACCGCTGATGGTGATCAGAAGGTTGGGGTTGGTGGCGTGGATGTTCTCGGCAGCCTCCGACACGTTGCCCCACCATGTGTTCCAGTTGTACTCAAGCCCGGGCTTGACCGCCGATTTTCGCAGCTCGTTGCGCAGAGACATTGAGACAATGTTGGAGTGCTTCTTGGCCCATTCCGCCATGTATCTATGACCACGATGCCACTTGCTAACGTCAAAATCCATATCACCAAACCATGCATTGCCGTCGTCGTGACTACAGCACCAGATGGCTCGGCTGATGTGGTTGTCGAGATGCATCAGCATCCCCTGCTTCTTCTCCTCCTCAGCAATCATTGAGTAGACCTCGAGACGGGTGGTCGAGTTGGTAATCTGTGGGTTGTTCTTGTTGATCATCTCCATGATGCGAGTACCATTGTCCTCGCCAAGAGCGTAGAGGAGTGCATGCTGGACAGTGATGTCGGTGCCGTTGTTCTCGTAGATCTGGTCGATCATCTGGATAGGGTAGGTGTGACGGACAAAGTTGTAGCCAACGTACTTCATCATGCTGACAATGTCGGCGATCGATCGGAACTCGATACCTTCGGGGATCGTGGTTTCGCCGGAACCAGGCCAGTTGGTGCCCACAAAGATGACGGGCTCGCCGTTGGCATTTTTGACCTGGTTACCTTCTGTCTTGAAGGGGCCGTGAGGCCACTCATCGCGACGAATGGGTGTGGTAGCCGCAAGTGCGGTCTGCACTGCCGCTGCTGCCAAGGGGAGAAATGTCAAGAGATTCAGCTTCATGGTGGTCTATCTACCTGAGGCAGGAGTGAAGTGGCGTCGATGTTGGAGCAAGAGAGGTGCAATACGAAGCTCTCTTATAACCTGTTGAGGCAACAGGCTTCAACGAATCTCATCCAGTGCTCGAAAATCAGGAGCACGACGCCATTCGATGCCCATCCTGCGCTTCTGAACACACCGAGTCGATGCCAAAGCGCAGATGTGCAACCTGGAGCCGATGCGGTCAAGTAGCATGGAGGATGCTAAGCGAGCTCCCAAGGGGTGTAGTTCGAGATGCGGAGCCTCCACAAGGCTATAGTTCGTAGGCTCGGTGAGTTCTCAGTCTTCGACGAGACCATGAGGAGGTAATGAGAGGCGGGGAAACACCGAAACATTGTGCGAGAAGAGTGGAGTACCGGTCCACCCGGACAGGATTACTCTTAATGGCATTCGTCGGCGTTCGCCTAGGATATGCTTTGTTCTGTTCTTCTCGGATCGAATTGCAACAAGCTCTGCCAAGCCTGCAAGCCAAGTGACGGAAGCTTGCGTCGATTGTTGGCAGGAGAGTGTGGGGTAAGAGAAGGAACAGCAGATGGTAAAGAAGCGGGGATGGAAAAGAGATCTCCGATGCGGGGGGTTGACAGCCGAGGCTGCCGCCGCTCCACAAATCTGCTTCCATCGCTTTTCCTTGCCGCCGTGCAGAGGCAATACGCTGGGAATTGCGCCGGCGTTTGGTCTCGATCGTCCGATTCCACCTTGACCCCCTTGCGAGCCCTGAAAGAGGGTATGGAAAAGCTAATCCACTGCCACAAATAGCATCCAATCGCTTTGCCCTTGTCACTACGCGAGTACTCATTCGGACGAGTCAAGAAGCCACCTCCGTCGTAGGCCGCATGGCTGGCTCATGACGATCATGATGGCTGGGTTGAGACTGAGTGGACCCCCTTTTCAATATGCCTCACGAAGCTGCACATTGTTTCATCTGATGGGTCCATGGCCAGCAGCAAAAATCAAGTCCACTCAACAATGAGCTCAGCTGCTGAATCGAATCACGATCATGGTGCGTGAACATTGGGCTTGACGTTGACTGGCCGCCACGATATTGTACAAAGCCTTGAAATGCAACATGGTGAAAAAAGTCATAAAAGTCAGCAGGATCATGCCTGTTCAGGTCGGACCTGTGCAGCAAGAGGCTGCTCATCTGCGAATCTCCCACCCTGACCACTGACACTCTGTCCTGGCTGTGCCTCGAGTTTGGACGAGAGACCCTTGGTTCGCACTTCCCATCCGTATCCTCCGCCTGGCGCACCAGGAACGTTGTCGCCCGGCCCGTCGTAATGCAGCTTCGAGACGTCATAGTTGGCAATGAACTCCCATCCGTTCTCGCGCACGTGGTAGAGGTTGACGGTGTTACCCGAGTATGCATCACGATGAGCAGCGGCGTAAATGGAGCGTCGACCAAGCTCCTGTGCTTCCTCATCCGACAAATCCCACTTGTAGCCCTGATCAAGCACACCGTAGGCAAAAGTGGAACCGGAACCAACACTGAATACGTCACCCTTGAGACGAGTGCCATCCGAATCAACGTAGAAGAGAGCAGGGCCTGTTTTGTCCCACCCACAGATCATAGTTCCCATGGACAAGCCCATGCCCTTGTACGAATAGACGAGATTGCTGAGATATTTGCTGGCGGCAGCGACCGAGATACGCTCCTTGTTTCGGAGCTCGTGAAGTCGACACTGGATACCGAGGTAAGTCTCCCAGTACTGGCAATCGGCAGCACCACCGGCCATGGTTCCGAGAAGGTATGGGTTGATTTCGATGACCTTCTTGACTGTCCCTGAAGCAATGTAAGAGCCAGCAGTAGCTCGCGAGTCGACGCATACGATGATGCCGCCTTTGAAGCGGAAAGCAAGTGTGGTTGTACCGTGCGCCAGCTTGATCTTGGCCGCTGGATTAGAGGAGTCGACATCGGTGTACTGTGACAAGAAGGTCGCTGGATCCATGTTGGGGAGATCGAACTGGCCGGGAGCACCCATGAGCTGGTCATATGCGGCACCAGTGCTTCCATGCATAGCATCGCCGCTGAAGGACGAGCTGGACGGCTGGTCGAAGCGGGATAGTAACGAATTCATGTTTGAGAAGCTGAATGAACTCTCTGTCGTGATGTGCTGATGGGAAGTTCTTGGTGCTTGTACGAGTTCGAGGCGGTCAGGTGAGCTGTTAGCCTGACGATATTTTCGGTGTAAAGCTTTTCGTTGGTGTACGAGGTGTTGAGAAGAGACGGCGATAGTGTCAAGTGTTAGTTAGCTGTGTAGTTACTGGAGTTGCGGACGTGCCACTTTGAGAGTTGCCTGTGCTTTCAGGGCTGCGCCTTCCTGTACGCGTTCAAAGGTGATCGACCTCTGCTCAATGTGGAGTCGAGATTTAGGTCGAGTGTGTTACAAGAAGGGAATTAACATGATGAAGCCTATTTTTGGAAGGCCCTTGTTTCAATCAGCACCGACCCATCTTCAGGCTTGAAAAGATGTCGGACAGAGGGTTTTGCGGAATGTTGACCATCCAAGCTTGTTAGCACAAGCGTATGTTTGAGGGACCTCGCTGATAAAGTATCAACGCAGTTCATGGTTCAGCAGCCTTGGAGTTGTGCCAAAAGAGAGCAGCCATCACAGTATGTCAGAGCAGCGAGGTTGGATAAAGATCATTCAAAAGAAACATATGTACAAGTTCATAAAAAACATGAGATCGCAAACAGAGCGCGAGGAGGGCCCTATGAAGGCGAGGGCGAGGTATGCGGGAGTTAAAGAAGCGCGGTAGTAATAACTTCCGAGGATATACAAGGATGATGGTGAGGACTCGCCACGGATCCGTCAGACGTTAAGTACTGGCAAATATCCGACAGCAAGATCACTGAAGCGATGCTACGCATGGCCACTTAGAACATGCAGTCTGTAGATGTGGAAATGAGAGTGTATGAGAAGAGGATATCGAGTCAGACGGGTGGCTGAGCGAGATGAAAACTTGGCATAAGAGATGTCAGATACTTACCAAGACAGAGGTCTTCGAGACAGCAACATGCGAGCATACCGGCACAGCAGGCGCAGCAAGCAGTTCCTCCGCCAGCTCCGCCGCCCTTCTTCTGGGGCTGCTGAACGTAGACGGGCTGAGGCTGAGGCTGAGGGTGGTAGCCGCCCTGCTGAGGCTGGCCACCGTAAGCCTGCTGAGGAGGAGGTGGGTAGTAACCCTGCTGAGGCTGACCGTAGCCCTGCTGAGGAGCGCCGTAACCCTGCTGAGGGTAGCCTGTAGGAATGGACAAGCGGAAAGTGGCAAAGTGATTAGAAGGACGAAAAGTTGTGTCAATAACAAATCCATGTAGATAAGGCGGAAATAGAGCAAGCCGGCTAAAGTTGCGTATCCATCCATATCATCAGACAGCTTGGCAGGTCCACATCAAGTACTGATGTCGGAGTCAACGACCGGTACAGTACAGTAGCAAGCCAAGCTATTTCCACGACCTGGCCTTGCCACCGTGACTCGGTGATGCTGGTTGAGGATCCCGAAATCGAGCGAATCTATAGAGCTGGACTTGATCATAGATAACACGCAGGATGGGGGTTCTGTGGTGTTACGAATGCATGCGAGCTTATCATTCGTCGTGTGTGGATGGATGTACTTCGTCTGTAGCTGACACCGATGTGGGTGGCGCCGCCGTCTCTAGCCAAGTTGCAAAGGATACGTACCGCCGCCCTGGCCACCGTAATAATCCTTGGCCGACATGTTGATGTAGTGTGTGTGCTGCTGTGTATGCGTTGCTGTGGTTGATAAGGTGACTGGAGAATTGAGGACGAATGCGGTAGATGATCAGATGTCGTTCAAATAAATAAGAGATGATGGAGTGCCGAGTGGTTTGCTTTCTGACTTTCTGTCTCGCAATAGGCTGAGAGCAGCGCTGTGCCGACCGCGTAAATTTAGTTGGTGTCTAATTTCAGGCGAGAGGGCACAGTGGCAACACAGCAGTTGGCCGGCTAGCTCAGCTTCTCTTTTTGTTTTTCTTTTGTTTTTTGCCTCTGATTTTTTAGAGGGTCTCTGGTCTAGAATATTATAGCAACGCCAAAGGAAAAACACAGCCATGCTGCCACACCCACGTTCCCACTCTTCGAAGTGGGCTGTGCATTTCAACAGACTAACTGTGCCGAACATAGATGGTCAAATTCAGCTTCCCCAACACACAAAGGAAAGATCCTCTCTTGCTTTTCGGCCTCCCACTTGCCAAGGTCACTCGCCAAGTCCCATCGCCAAGGGCAAGTCTGTTCAAATGAGCTTACAGATAGCACACACACACAAACCATACCGAAGCCATCTTGTTAAGCTGCCCTATGGGCCATGAGTGCGTTTCTTGTCTGTCATTGTGAGCTGTCATCCTTCCTTTGTGGTGCCCACTCTCACTTGAAAGCAGCAATGCTGATAGTAGCCCTCTTTCCTCCTATCACGCACAGCCGAAAGGAGATGCGATGTCTGCCGGAGTCGAGGCTATTTTACACTTTGCATGCATCGACGTGGTCGAAGCAGGTCCTCTCTTATCGTACGAGAAAGAGATCAACTGCTTCTCTGTTCGGGACTCGGGCCAAAACAAAGCATGGAACTGTTCACTTCCTATTGATTGTCAAGACAACCTTCGATATGGCAGCCCAACGCCAACACCTTCCCTAGCTCGAGAGACACAGCATCCATACAGCGAAGCTGGCTCCGCACACGCTTCCGCCTTCTCCTGAGGCTCCAAGCTGTGGTTGGTGATCCAGCTGCGCTTTCGACAGGATCTCTTGACGATCCGAGCTTGCTTCTTACTTGCTTTCGGCGAGGGCTCCAAGGCAGCCAACATGGCGCCACCAGGTCACGCTGCTAGCGTTCCCAACGTCCCTGGACGCAAGGTCGACAACCCGGAGCAGCTCAGCTTTCTTCGTGATCACGTTCGTGACCTCTGTCGTCTCGATCACGCGCGCTTCCCCGGTGCACAGCCTGTCTCTTTCGAAAAAGCTTCCATCGATCTCCTCCAATCCGAAGACTACTGGGTCTGCGAAAAGTCGGACGGCCAACGTGTTCTCATTCTCACCGTCATCCCATCGTTCACGGGGATTCAAGAGGTGTTTCTTATCGATCGAAAAAATGACTACTACAAGGTGGAAGGTGTCGTCTTTCCTCATCACATGCCCAAAGATCCTGAAGTGGCTCGTGTCCAAGGCATGCGCAACCATACCTTGATGGATGGAGAGCTGGTCATCGATACCGACGCCAGTGGTAAGCAAAAGCTCGTGCTTCTTCTCTTCGACCTCATCGTGCTCGACCGCGAACTTCTGGCGAATCGTCCGTTCAGCAAGCGCTACAGTCGTCTCAAGAGCTTTGTCTATCCTCCTTACGCCGACTATCTCAAACGCAATCCTGCCGCAGCAGCGCGTCGCCCTTTCGACATGCAAGTCAAGAAGATGGACTTGGCCTATGGTATCCAGATGGTTCTGTACGAAACCGTGCCCAACCTTTTACATGGCAACGATGGCCTCATCTTCACCTGCCTGAACAGCGGCTACGTCATGGGAACCCATCCCAAGATTCTCAAGTGGAAGCCACCAAACGAAAATACAATCGACTTCAAGCTCATTCTCCGCTTTCCACCAGACCTGGAACGTGACCCACGCGGCAACCTTCCGAACCTCTCGCTCATGCCTTTCTTTGAGTTGCATCAGTATCTAGGCGATTCTGCAAATGAAGATTACGAGTTCTTCGACGAGCTCTGGGTCGAGCCGGAGGAGTGGAGGCAGATGGTCGACTCCGGAGAGCAGTTCGACGACCGTATTGTCGAATGTGTATGGAACGTCGATCCGCAGCCTGCGACCGAACCTTACATCTCTCAACATTTGTCGCTGCCGCCAAGGTGGAGGATGATGCGCATCCGTGATGACAAACATCATGGAAACCATCGATCCATCGTCGAAAAGATCCTCAAATCAATTCGTGACGGCGTTGAAGCTGACGAGCTCGTCAAAGCGGCCCCCGCAATTCGTGCAGCCTGGAAGACAGCAAAAAGAGAGAAGCGACGCCAAGAAGGCGGGCAAGTACCTGTCTCCAACGCTGCGACGACTCCCTCGAATCCTTCCTCATCTCAGCCTGCATCAACTCAAAGCAATGGACTTGAGGCCTTTGATGCCTCCATGCCTTTCGGTGGCATGGCATACCGTGGAGTCAAGGGCAAAGCACCACCATTAGCATCCGGCGGTCCACCAGGTCTTATTCGAAGATGATCTTGGCATTGCTTGCACCTTGCTATTTTTGGCCTCTCGGAAGGCATCTTAGTGTGTATGCCTTTGTCGCTTGGTTTCTGTTCCAATCTTCACCACCTTTGTTGTATTTATAGCATCTCTCCTTTGTTAGCAAGCTTAAATGCCAGTTTGCGTACGTCTGACATTGACTCGCACTTTGTGACAACGAGCTGGATTCGATCTTCCGCTCAGCAACCACTGTTGCCACTTCACGCAAGGACACGAAAACGAACAGCGAAAAAGAGCTTCCCGAATTTGCACCTCGAAAAAATGGCTCGAAAATTGTGAGGCGCAGGACAACACGGGCCAAAAGCTCAAGCCTGGACCCTGTCCGAGACCCTTGCTTTGCTCAGTCGAGTTGGCACCATCCTTTGACCTTTCCATTTGCTACACAACCATCATCAACCCCGGCTCCTGATCGTACGCTTAACATTTTACCTGCGACACTGGAGTGTACCTGACAACCTCTTCGTTGTGAAGCCCGCCGTCCGCACGTCAATAGCGGATCATCATCACCACTCAAGCCAATACGCCACCAATGACCATACTCAAGTTTGCGCCGTTCAGCACCAACATTCATCCGACTTTCTGGCATGAACTTTCATCGCTCAAGATCGACAAGCTTCAACTTAGCGATGAGTCGGTGGACATTATCGCTCGCTACTCCGCAGGTAAAGTTGTCCTGGATCGTCAGACTGGTGAAGCAGTGTCGCTTGGCAGTCAGATCAGCTTGGACGCGACCAGTTTGCAAAGCGACAAGGTGTCGCACGACTCGAATGCCACCCAGATTGCTTCGACATCCGAATCCACTCTTCCGCCATCTGCTTCACAAAACGAATTCGTGCTCTTTGCTCGTGGCATCCTCAAGAACTTCAACACCATCGAAGCTTTCCGCAATGCAGACAAGCAGGCAATCTTTGATTCGACCCTCCAAGACATCTGGAAGGGCCTGGCTACTAAGGAGCAGCATCCCGAACCCTTTTTGACCTCCTTCTTGGCTCTCACCTTCGCGGATCTCAAGAAATACAAGTTCTACTACTGGTTTGCGCATCCTGCCCTCGTCACGAACCCGCCCTGGGAGCTCGCCGACGGCGGTGTGGGCGCAGACGCTTGGAAGCCGATTGATTCGATCTTCGAGTCTGCTCATTGCAACATTCTCGCGACATGGATACTACAAAACAGTGAAGCAAAGGGCTTCTTCCTGTTCAAAGCAGCACGCCGTGGAGATGCTCAGTGCGGTAGGATATCCACATTCGATGCCTTCTTCAAAGGAGTGCCGGAGGACGAGCGCTACATCGGCTTTGTGGATCCATCAGGTGCATCACAGACCCCGGGTTGGCCACTCCGCAATCTCCTCGCGTATCTTCACGCCCACTTTGGTGTCGAAGAGGCCCAAGTGATCTGCTGGAAAGATGAGCCGGGAGCCGGGTTTACAGCGATAGAGCAGCAGAATCGGCTTCGCAGTGTGGTGGGCCACGTCCGTCTTCCAGCCGCCATCGCCGCAAAAGATGGCGATGGCCCGTCGATTTCAGGACTTCAATATGGAGGCAAAGCAACAAGGATCACTTGCAAGGCAAACGACCCTTCCTTGCCGAGTGGAGTGGGCTGGGAGAGAAATGTACAGGGCAGATTGGCTCCAAAGGTAGCAGATCTCGGCCCCATCATGGATCCAAGAAAGCTAGCAGATCAGGCGGTCGACCTCAACCTCAAACTCATGCGCTGGAGAATCATGCCCGAGATCAAGCTCGAGACCATTCAATCCACCCGCTGCCTCCTTCTTGGTGCAGGAACGTTGGGCTGCTACGTTGCTCGCGCCTTACTTGGCTGGGGTGTGCGTCAGATCACGTTGGTAGACTCAGCCAAAGTCTCCTTTTCGAATCCAGTGCGACAGCCGCTCTTCGATTTTGAAGATTGTCTCGACGGCGGACAGCCCAAAGCAGAGTGCGCAGCGAAAAAGCTGATGCGTATTTATCCAGGTGTGGAAGCCAAAGGTATCAGCCTTAGCATACCCATGCCGGGACACCCAGTACCACCAAGCAGTGAGCAACAGGTCAAGGCGGATGTTGAAAGATTGGAAAAGCTGGTGGACGAGCATGATGTCATTTACCTTCTCATGGACTCGAGAGAAAGTCGATGGCTTCCGACAATGTTGGGCGCAGCCAAGTGCAAGCTGGTGATCAATGCTGCGTTGGGATTCGACAGCTACTTGGTGATGCGTCATGGTGCCCCGCCCGACTCTGTCAATGCGAGCGTACCGGCGGTGCAAGGAACTGATGCGAGCAAGAGCTGGCACGGGCGTCTTGGCTGCTATTTTTGCAACGATGTGGTGGCTCCATCCGACTCGCTGACCGATAGGACGCTAGACCAGATGTGCACAGTCACGCGACCTGGTCTCGCAGCAATCGCAGGTGCGTCCGCAGTCGAGCTGATGGTCTCAGTGCTGCAACATGATCTGGGTCTGCACGCACCAGCCACGGCGGGCGAATCATCGAGGCAAGGCGTGGAGGATGCACAGGCCATTGCAAATGCCACGACCGTCCTCGGCATAGTTCCACACCAGCTACGCGGGTTCTTGGCGCTGTTCAACACGCTGAGAGTTGTTGGACAAGCATACGATCGTTGCACCGGCTGTAGTGCTTCCGTGGTCGAAGCTTATCGGTCGAAGGGATTTGAGATGCTTCTTCAAGCTTTCAACGAAGATAAGTATTTGGAGCAACTGACTGGGCTGGACAAGATGTACGAGGAGGCTGAAGAGCTTGAAGCTGCGTTGGATTGGGATGTTGAGGATGAGGACGAAGATGACGCTTTCTGAGACCGAACAGCGGGCGTCGATATGTGAGACGAGAAAGTGGAACACAAATTGAACGGATTGCTGAGGACTAGTAATACACTGTGACAAGGGGAATCAATAAAATGCAAAGAGAAACGGAGCGATGAATGTGCAGCGAAGCGGAAAGGCTGGGTACCACGTGAGCTCGAATGATGCTGTGTGGTGACGGAAGATGCCTGTGACTGGATGAGACACATGGGTGTTAGCTGAGCGCTCGTGCACTCAGTTGTTCTGGCTGAACTTGTAGCCGCACTTTGGACAGTCGTAAAAGACGGTTGTACCTTCGTCTGCCGAGCGGAGCTGAAGTGTGTGGAAGTTCATCTCGTCATTGCCGCAACCAGGGCACTTTTCCTTGATGGTGGCCTCTTGTGGCTTGTTATCGTCGCCGAGTGCAGCTGCTGTGTTGACGAGTTGACGCTTCTGACGCAGTGCCGATGGGAATGCCGAAGGGTGAGAGCGTGTGACGATGGAAAGGTTGTCGTAGACTGTGATGATCAAGTCGAGTCGAGAAGAGCAAAGAGAAGAAGGGGAGAAAGCTGGTCAGTCAGCTAGTCTAAGCCTGGATCAATACGTCGAGATGCTGCAACCAACAATGTAAACTCACCTTTGGCATTCTGTACAGCTCCGCATGGAGCACATCTGATCAAGTCTTCGTCACCGGGGACGTCGAGCAGCGAACCGCAGTTCGGGCAGAACAGAAGCGAGCCAATCTTGTCTGTGTGCATGAAAAGGTGCGCCAAAGCGGTCGACGTAAGCCAAACTGATGCAGAGCGAGGAACCGCATCTGGTTTCAGTGGGACATACCTGGAAGCGCTGACATGACGGTTGTTGTTGTTGTCGTCGTCGTCGTTGTTGTTGTGGCAGCAGCGAGCTGTCGAATCCGGAGAAGACTGGATTATAAGAAGCGAAAGGTTCAGAAGATGATGTTGCTGCACCCTCAAACCAAGAAGAAAAAAAAAAAAAAAAAAAAAAAATTCCCGAGAAGAAAGCAGCAGACCGAGAACGGACCCTTGCTAACCCTTACTGGTTACCATCATACTAAGACCTCTCTCGATACTCAACAAGAGAGACGGTAGTTCTGAACACCTCACTCCTATAGACGACAGGTACAGTCACAGCGACAACATTCACCAGAGGGATTCCTGGCATTGTCTTTGGCAACCAGCTGCCGAGCCCTCGAGGCCGTCTCTCTTGCATCATCATATGGCCGCCGTCGGTACCTCATGCTAGCATCAGCATCAGCTCTAGCATCAACATTGGCATCAGCATCACCGTCTCCGCCCGATCAGTCGGCTTGTCAAATAGCGTCACTACCATGGGACTTGTCACCGACCAAAAGCTGGGCAATGCCCACATTGAGCTCCTAGCACACACAACACGACGCTCAGCCCTACATCTGGATGTCCTCAGGAGCTGCTTATCGTTGAAAGAGGAACTCTCGACAAGCCGACAAGCCATCGATCTGCTGCAGCGAACGACGCAGGATCTTGATGCTGGTCTTGCGGTCTCTCAGGCTCTTGATCGTCTCGCTGGTCTTCTCTTGATACCTGAGTGCACGCTCTCTACCGCCGCACACTTCAAGCCTCTGCTGTTGGATCTCCTAGTTCGAGCATTCAAGCAGACTGACAGCGTCGGCACATCCGATGTCACAGTCATCGCAAAGGCTCTGCACACCATTGCAATCTTGATCAGCATCTTCCCAGAGGTGTACGAGCTTCTCACCAAGTTTGTCGGAATTTCCGACTTCTCCTCGTTTCACCACAAGCTCTCGTCGGAGCAGCCGGAAGTGCTGAATCAGGTGCTGCTCGACCTCTATCGCATCATCTCTGTCGCTCCATTCACTCTACAAGGTGATGTTGACCTTTCCTACGCTCGATGGGCTCACAGTATTGTGCTTTCCTCGCAACTTTCCCTTTCTCTGCCAACTCGCCTTCTTGCGCTCAGCTTTCTCACATTGCAGCACGGCCTCAGCGAAAAGGCCCGTCTGGAACTTCAACAGCACTCTCTCAACTTACTCTCTCTCGGCACATCCGAGCCGTTCAGCATCGATGCTGTGGCTCCTCTCGCTCTGGAACCTACAGGAATCAATGTTTGGACACTTGAGACAGAAGAGTTCTCACGCATCGAGTTTGCTAAGAAGCAAGTCGCATCTCAACAGCCAATCTTCTTGCCCTCGCGGCAACACAAGATCGGCCATTCGGGCAAGGCGAAAGCTCTCTCTCTTGACGCACTCTCGCCCGAAGTTTGCTGCATCGGTGGCGTGCTGCTGCCATGCCCACCACGCACAAATCATGTCTGCAACTCAGCTCTCCTCGAAGAGCGATTCGTCGAGACAGCTGGTATCACGCCCTCGCTCTCCGAACTCGCCCTCCGCCTCACCATGAACTATCCCATCTTGCTCTCCGGACCCCCTTCCAGCGGCAAGTCAACCTTGATCCGTCATCTCTCTCACCTTCTCAAGGGCGTTGAGGCGCACACTCCGGCTAGCCACATCCTCACCATACAGCTTGGCGATCAGTCCGGCATCGACGCCAAGCAGCTCCTTGGCTCTTTTGTCTCCAGCCCAACAGAGCCTGGAAAGTTTCAATGGACCGAAGGAGCGCTCACACAAGCCGTTCGTCAGGGCAAGTGGGTGCTCTTGGAGGATATTGATAAAGCAGGCTCCGAGGTTCTCAGCACCATCGCACCTCTCGTCGAGCAGCTTGGACCAACAAAGGCACTTGGCACTTGCCCTATCGTCGACCTAGGCAGTCGTGGCAAGGTCACAGCAGGCCATGGATTTGCTCTCTTCGCTACAAGATCCATTGCCGCATCATCGACACGACAAGCTCCTTCCACTGCTACATTCTTAGGCAGCTCGCACTGGTCCGAGGTGTATATCCACTCGCCATTGCAGACTGATGTCATCAGCATCCTTCACAACAAGTTTCCTCGCCTCACTGCGCAGCAGTCCCGCTTTGTCGAACGCTTAGTCGCCACTTGGTACAAGTTGCAACGCGCCACGCAACCCTCGCCAGCTTCCGCCCAAGCAGCGGCCAAGGCAACAGCTCCCAGTGCAGGCAGCGTTCGTACTGCTACCTTGCGCGACCTCATCAAATGGTGCAGACGTGTTGAACGTCTTCTTTCCACAGAGCATGCCATGCTCTCGGATCCTTTCAGCAATCCCGTCCAGCAAGAGGAGATCTTTATCGAAGCATGCGACGTCTTTCTTGGCTCTGTACCATCACCACACGATGCTTCAGTAGCAGCCGCAACTGGTTCGCAGCCTTCGAAGCCAGTCAGCGGCAAGAATGTGGATCGCTACAGCAGCTTGGTGGAGCTGCTCGCTGAAGAGCTTGGCTTGACAAGTGAGCGCGCTTGGTGGGCACTCAAGCAGCGCATCCCAGAGCTGTCAGTCAGAGCACTAGAGAACATGCCGGATGCCGGCCCTTTGGACCCTTCTCTAGAAGCAGGCACCAGTCTCATCCGCGTCGGTCGCTGCGAGCTGATCCGACGATCCAAAGCGATCGCCAAACGTGCTGCACCCGTCTCGCGCAAGTTTGCCATGACAAAGCCTTCCTTGTTGCTGCTCGAGAGGCTTACCGTAGCTACTGCACTTGCCGAACCCCTCCTCCTTGTTGGTGAGACAGGTACAGGAAAGACCACTGTGGTTCAACATTTGGCTTCACTCCTCGGTCAACCCATGGTAGCCCTCAATTTGAGCCAGCAAACCGAGAGTGGCGATCTACTCGGCGCATTCAAACCACTCGACTCTAAACTGCCAGCTACCGAGCTGCACGACCAGTGGAGCTCGCTCTTTGCGCGAACCTTTTCATCTCGCCGCAACGCTCGCTTTGTCGAGACAGAGCGTAAGGCTTTTGTTGCTGGCAAATGGTCTCGCTTGGCTCTGCTGTGGCGTGAATCCGCCAAGATGGCATCCTCGCGCAAGAAAGGAGCAGCAAAGAGCAACACTACTGATGGTGTTGACGACGAGATGACCACCGACGACAACAATGTTCGTCCCGGATCTAGCTCGAGAAAGAAGCGCAAAACCGATCGAGGAGCCACCGAAGGCTCGCCCGCTGACCTCGATGATGCACGCGCCGAGGCGGAGCTCAATTATGAATGGATCGAGTTCGATGCTAAAGCAAGGGACTTTGGCCTCCAACATGGCAGCAAGAAGAATAACCTCGTCTTTTCCTTCGTCGAGGGTCCTCTGGTCAAGGCACTGCGACAGGGAGACTGGATTCTGCTCGACGAAATCAACTTGGCAGCCGCCGAGACGCTCGACAGCCTCACAGGACTGTTGCAATCACCCACTTCGAGCATCACCCTCACCGAGCGTGGCGACCTGGAGCCCATTCCTCGACATCCCAACTTCCGCCTATTTGCTTGCATGAACCCGGCCACCGACGTCGGCAAGAAGGATCTTCCAGCCAGCTTGAGGTCGCGTTTCACCGAGCTCTACGTGCCCAGCCCTGACGCTGACCGCGATGCGCTCACCGCCATTGTGGACAAATACATTGGCGAGCATGCGTTGGGCGATCGAGGCGCTATCATGGATGTCGCCGAGTGTTACGCCGAGATTCGCCGCCTGGCTCAGCAACATCAGTTGGCGGATGGTGCCAACCAGCGACCTCACTTCTCCATTCGAACCTTGTCGCGCGCTTTGACTTTTGCCACCGATATTGCCCCTCAGTACGGCTTGCGACGCAGTCTCTGGGAAGGTTTCGTCATGGCCTTCACCTTGTTGCTTGACGAAGCCAGTGCCAGGATCGTACGTGCCATCATCGAGCGTCACACCCTGTCCAAGGCAAAGAACGCCCGTGCCATTGCCACTTTCGTCCCGCCGGCACCTCAGGGGGCCGACGACGGCAAGTTTGTCCAAGTGGGTCCCTTCTGGCTACCCACGGGCCCAGCAACCCTCAACGCTGCCGAAGACTACATTCTTACCCCTTCGGTGCAAAGCAAGCTTGTTGGCTTGTCGCGAGCCGCATTGACTCGTCGCTTCCCAGTGCTCATTCAAGGCCCTACTTCGGCGGGCAAGACCAGTGCGGTCGAATATTTGGCTAGACGCACTGGACATCGCTTTGTCCGTATCAACAATCACGAGCACACCGACGTACAAGAGTACATTGGCTCCTACGCCTCGGACCCCGACTCCGGCAAGCTGTGTTTCCAAGAGGGACTGCTCGTCAAAGCACTCCGAAGGGGAGACTGGATCGTGCTGGACGAGCTCAACCTGGCTCCCACCGATGTGCTTGAGGCGCTCAATCGCCTTTTGGACGACAATCGCGAGCTTGTGATCCTCGAGACCGGCGAGGTGGTCAAACCTCACCCACACTTCATGCTCTTTGCAACGCAGAACCCGCCAGGACTCTACGCCGGACGAAAGGTTTTGAGTCGAGCTTTCCGCAATCGATTTCTTGAGCTCCACTTCGACGACGTTCCACGCGCCGAGCTCGAGACTATCTTGACCAATCGATGCAAGATCGCGCCTTCCTACTCTTCGCGCATCGTCGGTGTCTTCGAAGAATTGCAGAAGCGCCGACAGGCCGGTCGGGTCTTCGAGACTAAGCAAGCCTTTGTGACGCTACGTGACCTCTTCCGCTGGGGCGATCGCGAGGCTGTAGGCTACCAGCAGCTAGCCGAGAACGGCTACATGCTCATCGCTGAACGTGCACGTCGCGCGGATGACAAAGAGACGGTCCGAGAGGTCATCGAGAAGATCGTGAAGGTCAAGCTCGACGTCGATCACATGTACCGCCTGGAAGGTCCGGAGAGCGCAACGGCAATGTCGCGAATGGGTAATGGACTCGGAAGCGCCATCATCAGCGCTCTCTCCAACACTAACATTGTAAGGACTTCGGCATTCCAGCGATTGCTCTGTTTAGTCGCTACGAGCTTGCGCTACAATGAGCCTGTGCTCCTTGTCGGAGAGACCGGTGCCGGAAAGACGTCGGTGTGCGAGGTGCTCGCCACCGCTTTCGGTCGCCAGCTGCACTGCGTCAACTGCCACCAGAACACAGACACCGCCGATCTTCTGGGTAGCCAGCGTCCTCTGCGTAATCGTGCTGCTCAACAGAGCTCAGCCAAAGCAGCTTGCCTCGAGGCTCTCGACGCCCTGCAGATTGCTCATGTCCTAAACGCAGAGAGCAAGCTTGAAGACGTCTCCTCCTTTGTCGAAGCAGTCTTGTCCAAGGAACACGAGCAGCTTGCTTCCCTTGGCCAGTCAGAGAGGAAGGAAGCGCGAGCCATGCTGCAAGGTGCGCTGCGCAGCATCTACCAAGCCACCGCACTGTTCGAGTGGCAAGACGGTCCCTTGGTTCAGGCGATGCGCGCGGGCGACCACATTCTGCTCGACGAGATCTCCTTAGCAGACGACAGCGTGCTGGAGCGCCTCAACAGTGTCCTCGAGCCTGCGCGAACCTTGGTCCTGGCAGAGCGCGCCACGTCATCCAGTCACCTCAGCTCTGAGGCAGATATCTCAGCATCTCAGATCACGGGCGCTGATGGTTTCCAAGTGCTTGCTACGATGAATCCTGGTGGCGACTACGGCAAGAAGGAGCTGTCACCCGCCCTTCGCAACCGTTTCACCGAAATTTGGGTCCCTCACGTTGACATTCGCAGCGATCTCATTCAGATCATCAATGCGCAGTGGAAGGACGCCAGCCTCTCTGCATGGACAGAGCCCATCATCGACTTTTCCGACTGGTTCATCCATCAAATCGGCGGCCGCGATCAGTCTGGTTTGGGTTTGCGAGACTTGCTCACGTGGGCGTCTTTTATGAACGAGCTCTCCATTCATGCCGCGCTGGATCCGGCCTTATCCTTTGCTCATGGCGCCTCATTGACCATCATTGACGGTCTTGGAGCCTTGCCTGCCACTGCAGCAATGACTGCTGGGGGTCTGGATCAGCTTCGTGATGGCTGCCTAGCCAAGGTTGCCGAGCTCATTGCGCCACAGGAGTACGATCCAAAGTTGTCGACACTCTTCGAAGTGGACGTCTCTAACGAGCGTCTGCGTATCGGCCCATTCTCGATCCCACGCGGAAAGCTTGGTCTGCCCACAGAGGGACCTAACTCGTTCAGTTTCGGCGCCAAGACGTCCGCGTCCAACGCAATGCGTGTCCTGCGAGCTTTGTCCGTACCAGGCAAATCGGTTCTGCTGGAAGGTAGCCCCGGCGCCGGCAAAACCAGCTTGATCATAGCTCTGGCCTCAGCAGCTGGTCGACCTCTCACGCGCATCAACTTGTCTGACCAGACCGAGCTCGTCGACCTCTTCGGTTCCGACATGCCCCTGGAAGGAGGAGGACCTGGCGAGTTTGCTTGGCGGGATGCTGCCTTCTTGACGGCGATGCAGCAGGGCGGATGGGTGTTACTCGACGAAATGAACCTGGCCTCTCAGACTGTACTCGAGGGTCTCAACTCTTGCCTGGACCACCGTGGAACTGTCTATGTGCCAGAGCTCGGTCGATCGTTTTCCAAGCATCCCAACTTCCGCATCTTCGCTGCTCAGAACCCTCACCACCAGGGAGGCGGAAGGAAGGGACTGCCCAAGTCGTTCCTCAACAGGTTCATCAAGGTACACATCGAAGAACTGACCGGCGAAGACATCCTTGCCATCAGCACGCACTTGTATCCGGACTTTGACCAGGAGACACTCAGCAAGATGATTCGGTTCAACTTCGATCTGCATTACGAAGTTGTCGTCAAGCATTCATTTGGCAGGATCGGAGCACCATGGGAATTTAACCTGCGAGACCTTATGAGGTGGCTCGACCTGCTTCACTCAAACCTCGGCTTGAACAAGCTCGAAGACCCGATCGAGCATCTCGCCTCGCTCTACGTGCAGCGATTTCGCACCACATCAGACCGCAAGGCAGCTCGAGCCCTCTTTTACAAGTCTTTTGACAGCACTTTGGCCGACGAAGCACGCACTGTCTCCACGATCACTCCGGGACACGTGCGAGTAGGTCATGCTGTGATGCAACGCCGACCAGCTTTCGACGCAAGCAGGCATCGCCTTGTGCTCCTTCAGAGCCAGCTTCCCGTGCTGGAAGCTCTGATGGACTGCGTGCACAAGGAGTGGCTTGCCATTCTTGTCGGACCTTCTGGAAGTGGCAAGACGAGCATCGTACGTTTGTTGGCGCACTTGGCTGGCGCACGCCTGGAGGAGTTCCAGATGAATTCGGGCACCGACACGATGGACCTCATTGGCACTTTCGAGCAGTATGATCCTCGAGCTCGCTCTCGAGATGTTATTTCAGCCCTGCTGATCGAGATGCAGCGCTGCTCCGAGCGCGTCGCTATGACAAGCAATTCGCACTTTGCTGCCTTCCTCGCGGCGCGTCAAGTATTGAGTTCCGCTGTCGGCTCCTCTTCCATCTCTGTCGATGCAAATGGCCTGTTGGACGCGCTTGAAGCGGTGCGTGCTGCAACGAGCGCCTTCAATGACGGTCCTCTGGGCAAAGCCGTGGAAGATGCAAAGGCAGTCGCCCTTGAGCTCGTTCAGAGCCCGGTGGATACCCACCGATCAACCGGCAGATTTGCATGGATCGACGGACCCTTGCTCCGGGCTCTACAGGAGGGTCACTGGCTTATGTTGGACAACGCAAATCTTTGCTCGGCTTCGGTCCTCGATCGGCTTAACTCACTGTTCGAGCGCGATGGCTCCCTGGTGATCAGCGAACGCGGCGTAGTGGATGGCCGGGTTCCCGTGGTACGACCACACCCCAACTTCCGCGTCTTCATGTGTCTAGATCCGAGACACGGGGAGCTGTCTCGTGCGATGAGGAATCGAGGTATCGAGATCGCTCTTCTTCCGCAAGCAGGCTCCGCCTCGAATGACTTGGAGAGGCTTGCGACACTCTGCGGCGCTGACTCAACCTCCTCTACGATGCCTTTACGATCGACACAGAGGGAGCTCATGGATGCATCACTCCACATGCAGATGGTGCAGCGTGGCCTCGAACCATTTGACGCTCTCAACACAAGCCTGTCACAGGCAGCTAATCTGAGAAAGGTGGCGTCGTGGATCACCAGCCAGTTGATTCTTGCAAATTCGGGTTTGGCATCAGCTGTATTGCCCGTCTACCTTGCAGAGGTGAACGACGTTGCTTCAGAAGCAGCTGCTTCCCTGCTTCTCCGCTTGAGCTCGCCAAAAGCGCTCTCGTTGATCAAACAAGTGGTCGCTCGTTCTCGGTCTTCGCTTTCCGAAACGGCGGCTGCTCTTATGCAAGATATCTACTCATCGCCGAACTTGCTTGAAGCGTCAAGGCGAGATCTGCAACACAACCTGGTTGAGTCGAGGCGCATCTCGCCAGAATTCGCCGACTCTCTTGCGATCGATCTTCGTTATGACGACAACATCTCCCGTCTACTTGAACCGCAGCTGGGCCCGTCCGACATCGTTCACCTCCTACTTGCCACCATGCTTCAACGTCTCGGGGTAAGGAGAATCTCGGAGGCGGCCTCAGCAAAGCGCGTGCAGGAGTTGAGCATCTTGGAACGGTCAGCGAGGCTCAGCGGCACCGCTATGGTCCATGATGAGGACCAAGCCACCACCGCTATGCGCAACGTGTTCCCTCTCATTGTTGCAATCAATCGAATGGCCTCGTCGGCCCTACAAAGCGACGATGCATCTGCTTTGCCGCCTGCAACACTGCGTCAGCTCTCTCTTCTGATGCGAGCCGCCGAGTATCTGCAGAGCCTCTGCACCTCTTCCGAGCTCGACTTCTCTTCCATTCAGATCCTGGTGCGATTCATGTCAAATCTGTTGCGGGACATCAATGCCGGAGGAATAGAAAGCGATGTCAACCTTGTTCAGACCATCAACTTGCTTGGCGGCTCGTTGCAACTGACCTCTGGTCAAGCGCTTTTCCCCATTTGGTCCCTTTTCGGTGCCGACGAGGGTATGCAGACTAACCTGTACCGTCTGATTTGCGACGAGATCGCAATGCTTCCGGTCGCAGCCGGTGATCTGCTCAAAAACGCTATAAGCGTGGCTGCGACGCTCTGCGCTGCCGGCAAGCAGTCCGCGGCGCCTTCCGAGCTCAGGGACATGATGCAGCTCGGCTGGCAGACTTTGAAGATGGTTCAAGCTGCGAGCAACAAGCTTTCAGCACAGGGTCAGGAACATGCCAGCAAGTCGGCAGCATCGGCAAGGGCTGAAGCAGCGCTCTTGAATCTTGCAGAAGTATCGATCAGAACGCCGAACTGCCTCGTTGGTGGATCAGAAGCATCAAGAATGAGATTGATCATGCAACTGCTAGAGTCTCACTCATCGCCATCAGTGCAAGCCGCTGCTGCCGCTTGCAAAGCCACTCTTTGGACACTCGACTCTGGATCGGCCAAGTCGAACGCGCTACTCAGCGACTTTTCCTGGATCAGGCGACTCTGGCCTGTCGGACCTGGCCAGGCCCCCAACAGCGACGGATCGGCTGATCTGCTTCGACCTACGTCCCTGCGGATCTTGCTCGAGTCGCGTTTCGGAACGAGGTCGCTGATGGAGAAGGCGCTTCACGATACCACTATAGGCCAAATGATCAAGACCGTCGGTGCCTCGCTGCCTGCTAGCTCGTCGTCGCGCGCAGAGAAGCTGGCTCAGATCTTGATCAGCTATGTCTGCCGAGTCTCCGAGACACTCTACAAGGCAGCTGGCAAGGATCTGGCAGAACACGACGTGCCTGCATGGAAGTCCGTACAGGCGGTGTCCGACTGCTGCGTTGCACTAAAGACCTTGCAAGAAGCAGGCACAGCGCGGCTGCCGGAGGGTACCGCAGTCGCTCTGTCAGAGTGGGTTGCATTCCTCGAGGCCGAGCTGACGCCCACGCTTGCCCTGACGCACAAGGAAGGTAGCGCCACCGCGCTCGGACGAGCCTGGATGTCGGTATCTATGATCATGCTGCGCTTGTATCTGCCCAACGTCGCTGTTGACCCCATCGTCGCACGTAGAACGATGGCAGACTTTGGCGACTTCTGTCGTTCGCAGCTCGAAGAGGCTCTGGAGCTGGAGCTATTTGCCGAGTCCATCATCACAGGAGACACAAGCAACCGAGTCGTCCGCGATCTGATTTCACAGATCGAAGAGACCAAGCTGCAACTCAGGACGCAAGGCGGCGATCAGAATCAGGCTTGGCGAAAGCCAAACCTCAAGCTCCTGTCGCAGTTCTATCGAGAGACTTTTTCATTCCTCAGGGAAGTTGTCACTGCCGAGAGAATTGCGGATCTGGTGCAAGCGATGGTGAGCGAATCTTCAGAGCAAGCGGATCAACGGGAGGCCAGCTTACAGGCCAGCGTGCTCTCTTTCGGCGATCGACTTCGTAAGACCTTTGCCGAACTGCGCGACATGGTTGAGCCTATCATTGCATCATTGCTCCAGCTACAGCTCGGACTTCGCCTTGTCCGTCAAGCAGCCCGCATCGCTTCGGCGCCGGCAGACGTCAAGCAGCGCAGTGCCATCATGGAGGCGCTGGTCACTTTCCCTACAGCGCAGAGCTCGACCCTGCTGCGTCAGGCAGATCTTACCGGTCAGCTGCAGGCCCGCTCTGAGGTCTCAGCCTCACTATTGATCGTTTCGGCGGCATCGATCGCCTACGACCATGCCTGCCTTGGCATCCAAGTGCTCGAAAGTCCCGATACGCTGCGCAACATCAGCCGCAGTTACGAGCGCATCTTTCAACTCTGGGCTCTGGATAGAGAGAGAGCGAAGCGTGAGGAGGAAGAAGCGGCCAGCTTGTACAAGTCTCGAAAGATCGAAGAGTCGATTGAGATGGATGCTGAAGCCGAAGAGAGGGAATTCCGCGCATTGTTTCCCGAGTACGATGACGACGTCCTCGACGGCCCCACATCCGTTCAGGCAGCCGACGGGCACGACCCGTCGCGCTACACTGGCATGCTGTTGCCTCCACCTCGCTTCAGAACCATTCTTGATGCGCATATGGCTATCTTCGGAACCGCTTCTTACAAAGCTGGTGGCGATCTTTACCAACGCGAACGAGACTCGCTTGTCACAAAACTTCTGCGCAAACACCACGAAGACTGGTCGGAGGCATTGGACCAGATAGGCGCTGCTTTCGGTCTCTCTGCAGCGATTGACGAACAACTGGCGTCGACGCAGACGGCAAAGGACTTCAACTTCTACTTGGATCCTCGACCCTCGGAAGTTCGCAAAGCAACGGCGATTGTCGAGGAGCTGCGTTCACGACTGACCGCGTTGATCCAGGATTGGCCCGAACAGATGGTGCTGCAGCACATTCGCGACCGCTGCGATGCTGTGCTGCGAATGGATGCAGCAAGCCCTGTTGCCAAGATGTTGAGTGCCCTCGAGCAGCTGCTCACGCATACCGAGGACTGGGAGGGCTTTGCAAGTCAGCAGACCTCCATTCAGACCAGCCGAGAGCAAATCTCAGCTCAAATCATCGAATGGAGGCGTATCGAGCTCTCCTGCTGGGCCGAGCTGCTCAACACGCAGGCACGAACATTCCAGGATGAGCTTGGAGAATGGTGGTTCCGCGTCTACGAGATCCTCATTCGAGGTACGCGTGCAGCTTCAGCGGATGGACCGGATGCATTCAAGGACCACGTCGAGCAAGTCATCGACGCGATCGATCAGTTTGTTCGCTCCAGTCCCCTCGGCCAATTCGAGGCACGACTTGCCCTTCTCGAGTCATATGCACGCTTCATCGAACGCTTGGTGCGTTTGGCCCCGCCTAAGGAGAGTGGCGGCTTGAAGGAGGTAGGTGTCGTCCTGCAGAATGTGACCACCTTCTTCCGTCAGTTCGACGAGCGGATCTCGAGCACGTTACAGAGCCAGCGAGCGGTGCTGGAAACGGACATCAAGAGTTTCATCAAGCTTGCAAGCTGGAAGGACATTAACGTTCATGCGCTCAAGGTATCTGCGGCGAAGACGCATAGACAGCTTCACAAGACGCTGCGCAAGTTCCGTGACATCTTGCGTCAGCCAGTCGATCCCATACTGGCATCTCATCTCGACGCACTTACTCGAAGAGAGATTCCTGCACTGACTGTGGACTCGCTGAGCCACCGCAAGCTCATTGACATGGAGAGCGAGGGCACCGAAGCTTGGACCGAGGCAACCTCGATCGCAGGTCTCAACGAGTCGGCTCCCGAACACATTAGGCACCTCAGCAAGACCCTAACCGTCCTTCAGAAGATGTCAGGCGATCGACTCTGGCCAACGTTGCTCCGTCCTACGTCGACGGCTGCTGGCGTTTCTGAGATGGCCGACGAGATTGTGAGTCGCCAGCAGCAGCTTGCCAAGCTCACTCCCGCCTTCTCAAAGGAGGACAACGAGAAGGCGATCAAGAACTTGACGGCTCGGAAGCGCAAGGCTTGGTCCGATCTGCTCAAAGAGCTTCGACGCGTTGGCCTCAGCTCGTTCGTCAAGACTGACATGACAGCAATGAATCAGAGCGTCATGCACATCTACACCCGGCCAGCGCTTCTCCCGGCTTGTCCCGCTTCGCTCGCAGACGAGCCCTTCTCTACGCTTGAGAGACTGTTCTTCCGCCTGCTTGCTGCGCTGCCCAAGGTCCGCGACTCGCTGCAGAACCACAGCGCCGATCTCTCGACTGCAGAGCTTCAGCGAGGTGTCAACTACGTTGAGCACGTCACGCACTTAGTTCTGCAAGAACGTGACCGCATGCACTCCGAGCTTCAGACCTTGTCTTCGCTCGAAGAGCTCATTGTTCGCATGCGTGAACTGCACGATGCGGCCCTTGGCACGCCATCACGCGCATCGCGAACAGCGCCATTCCGAGCTTTAGCTGACTTCCTTGCGCGCCTTGCCAATGGCCTGGACGAAGTCAAGAAGCTGGCGCCCAAGTTCCTTGCCACCTCTGCCTTTCCATCAGCCGGAAGCGACATTCTGCTGGGACGTCTTCCAACTCTGTCCAGTGAGCTTGTCAAGCACGCTTCGCAGATTGAAAGTATGGTCAGAACAGCACAAAGCCACGTCGCCGACGGTCTGTTCTTCCTCACGGAACAAGAACGCACCTCGATTCAAGGCAGCCGCAAGCTCATCAAAGGGATCGAATCAGATCTTCGCGGCTATGTGCGATCCTTACCCGCGGTGGAGTCGCTCTTGTATCCAGTCTGGCAGTGGGCAGTGAGCGGACAAAGGTTGGTCGATCGATGCCTTGCTACTTTGGATGCGCCTCTCAAGGGCTCCTGCAACGCGCAAAAGCTCGTACAGCAGGCAAACGCGTTGGTTTCTGCCGTCCTACAAGTCGCTCAAGACATCCGTCGGGCTGCACCCACTAAGTCGACAGAAGAAATGACCTCTGAGAACGGCGTCGACGGCCTTACCGACAAAGCCATCACTGTCGAGCTGCAGACGCTGCAGACTCAGCAAGCCATATTGCGATCCTCTTCCATCCTCGCGGAAGTGCAGAAGCTCTCCTATATGGCCCAGCACCTTGCCAGGAAGCAAGAAGCAGAGGAGCTCGTACAGGTGCAGCTCGTGAGTGTCTATCCTTTCCTGCACGAGTACGCGGAATTGCTCCGAGCCCACTTGCTCGCATCGGCACACTTCTCAAGAAGTCTGCTCAAGCTCGACCATGTTCTTTGCCATTTGATGACCGCTCTAGCCAGCAAGGGGTTCTGCAAGCCTCCCGAAGAGCAGCCGAACGACGATGGCGAAGGCGACGAGAGCGAGCAGCTCGAGGGCGGAACCGGTCTCGGAGATGGCACAGGTGCCAAGGACATCACCAATCAGATGGAGGAGGATGACGAGATCGAGGAACTCCAGAAAGACAATCCCGCCGACGAAGGAGATGACGGCGAGAAGACAGAGCGCGAAAAGAATGCCAAGGAAGCCGACCAAGACTTTGGCGGTGATCTCGAAGACATTAGTGTCGACAATGACGAAGACGCCGGTAGCGATCAAGATGGAGAAGAAGACCAAGAGCAAGAGGCGGAAGATGCAATCGGTGACGTCGATCCTCTCGATCCGAATGCCGTTGATGAGAAGGTCTGGGATGGTGGTGACGATGGACCAGATGAGCAAAAGGACGCTCCCGAAGACAAGACGAACAAGGACCTTGGCGCCAACAATGCAGATGGCAAAGAGGCAGATTTGATGCCCAAAGAAGATGATGCAGCGGCGACCGACGATAAGCAGAAGCAGGAGCAGGCAGGTGATGGATCTCGAGAAGACCAGCAGAAGCAGCAGGAAGCGGAAGGGATACAGGATCACAATGACGATGAACAGCAGGAAGACGGAAACGAAGCTGAATCGGCTGAGACCGAGGAGCGCGACGGCGAGGGTGGAGCTACAGACGAGGAAAACGAGGATGGCGATGTGCAAAGGGAGGGCGGCGGTCGTCAACTCGATCAAGAAGCCGAACAAGGCGAGAACCTCGATCTGGACGATGATCTCAACATGGACAGCGATGACGCCAAGAGTGATGGTGGCGAGGACGACGATGGCCTCGACGAGTTCAGCGATATCGAACAGATGCCTGAAGACCTAAAGGAGGACAAAGTCGACGACAGGGCGATGGATGACCTCGTTGAGGATCGGCCTGATACCTCCGCCGAAGATCAACAGCAAGCCGAGGAGACTGCCGAAGGCGAAGCTACACAACAGGAGCCAGAGCAAGATGCTCAGGTTGACAAGGACAAGGGTGAAGATGCAATGGAAGAGGATGGCGAAGAAGAACGACCCGAAGCACAGTCCAAGCAAGAACGATTCGGCAACGACGATCCGGCTGGAGATCAGCAAGATCAAGTGGATCCCTTCGACGTCGACGCGGTTGATGCAGGTGCAGACGACGGCGGACAAGATGAGTCGGCTACTCAGCAGCAATCATCTCGTTCTCAGCGAGGTAGGCGAGTCGATGCACGCAAGGGTCAATCGGAGGCCGAACAAGGCATGGATCTGGATCAAGACGCGGATGCGACCCAACAAGATCAAGCACAGCAGCCATCGTCAGCTGGTGAGCGTGGGGCACGCGCGCCCAAGGCCGAGCAAGAAGAAGCTTCAGGTGACGCTGAGCAAGAAGGCGAGGCTGGTGCCGATCCTAATCCGCTCCGAAGGATGGGTGACGCGTTGGAACAGTTCCGACGCAGAATGCAAGAGATCCAGAGCGCTAGCGAAGAAGAGGAGGAGGAGCATGTCTCGGGTGACAAAGCGGAGCATGATGGCGAAGGGATGCCGGAAGATGGTGACGTCGAGCACGTCACCAACGACGACGATGCTGAGCTTCAGGCTCTCGGCGCTGCGCAAGAGCAAGACGAGGTTCGCAAACTTGGGGATCTTGGTATTGAAGAGATCGACGAGTCTCTAGTTGCCAAACCTCGTGGCGCCGATGTCAACGAACAAGAGGAGGCTAAGCAGCAAGATCCCCAGCCTCTGCCAGATCAACCAGAGAAAGCGGAGCGCAATGAGGTTAGCGACAGTCAGCAGAAGGCGTTCATGCCGTCCGACCTCAAGCCGCCTTCTTCGTCGTTCACTGCCGAACGGGAAGCACTGCTCGACGCTGATGGCGATGCCAACATGGCCGACGACATGCAGGTCAAGAAGGAGGAGGATCATGAAGAAGCTATGACGCCTCTGCCGGATGATGTGCGAGAGCACGCTGACGACGAGGTCCAGCAGCAACTCGAAGCTTTCCGCAACGTCGCCTCTAGCGAAGAGAGATTAGCTCGCGCTGGCGATCTTTGGAGGTCCTACGCGTCGCTTACTGCTGACTTGGCCTTCTCCTTGTGCGAGCAGCTGCGTCTCATCCTGGCACCGACGCTTGCAACTAGGCTCAACGGCGACTTCCGCACAGGTAAGCGTCTCAACATGCGCAAGATTGTTCCCTTCATCGCCTCCGACTTCGCCAAGGACAAGATCTGGCTCCGTCGAACAAAGCCCTCGTCGCGCGAGTATCAGGTCATGTTGGCCATCGATGACAGTCGAAGTATGTCCGAGTCGCGCTCAGCGCATTTGGCCTACCAAACACTAGCGCTTGTGACTGGAGCGCTCTCCCGCCTTGAGGTGGGTGATGTCTCGATCTGCCGCTTCGGTGAAGACGTCGACAGTCTGCACGATTTTGGCAAGGGTAGCTTCAATGATCAGAATGGCGCCCATGTCATCGATCGACTCGGTTTCCATCAAAAGAAGACCAACGTGCTCAAGCTCGTGGAGAAGTCGCTCGACACTCTCGCCGAGGCCCGTGCTGGCAGGTCTCCGTCGTCCGCTTCGCAAGGGGACAATCTCTGGCAACTTGAGATCATCATCTCCGACGGTATTTGTCAAGATCATGCCAAGTTGCGGACTCTGTTGCGCAGAGCGGCCGAACAGCGTGTCATGTTGGTGTTCATTGTCATCGACTCGTTGCAACCTGCCCCCGCCAGTGGAACATCGACGCCAGCAGCATCCAATGGTGCCAAGATCGCGCCTCAGCAACAGTCGCGAAGCTCGATTTTGGACATGACCAATGCTTCTTATCACACCGACGCTAACGGACGATTGCAGCTCAAGATGGAGCGCTACATGGATACGTTCCCCTTCGACTACTATGTCGTGGTGCGCGAGGTGGAAGCACTGCCAGAGGTGTTGTCCGCCACTCTTCGACAGTGGGTGGAAAAGATTCGCGAGACGGAGTCCTGATCAGCTTTTCAGCCTCACTTTACTGCCACATGCCGCACATACTCAACATGCACCATTAACACTGTAAATACCAACAACCAATGCAGATATTCTACGAGCATCATTCACCAACGTCTGTTTTAAAGAAGCTCCGTGAGCGACAAGCCATCAACCAACAGGATCAGCCTCGATGATGTCGCCAACGATGGAATACCGATCGGGGCAGAAGCTATCTGGTAGGAACACAATCAAATGCTCGGCTCGGGCGAGTAGTTAAGGATACAGAAAGGCAAAGTTGCTTCCGTTGGAAGCAACGGTTGTGAGACATGTGCTACAGGCCAGGAGGGGAGACAGGTGCAGTAGAAGCAAGGTTTGAGGCCAGGGATTAAGCTTTGTATACGGGTGCACTCGACAGAGCGTGCATGTGCATCCAGTCCTAAGGAGCGGAGAGGCAATCTAATTCCTTTGCAGTCGGACTCTCCCACGCTGGACTTCCTTGCCAGGCCAAACTAGTCAACGTGACGAGTTGGAGGCTCACTCTAGTGACACGCAAGCATCATCATTTGAAGATAGGCTCAAGATTGTTGGTTTCCTTGATACACGGTGCACATTGCAGGTCCGAGTAGGAAGACTGCTGCTCGCTTGATTGCTCACTGGATACATAGAATTGACCGGTCCCAACGTTGATCGTGTATTGACCGGTGGAAGCTCCTGGAAAACCAATCAGACAGGCAGCTGTAACAAGAAAGAGATGCTACGATTCGAGCTCCTATCGACCGATTTATCAGAGAGCTGCACTCGGAACGGTGAGCACCATCAAGCCGAGCTGCCGACGCTCCGCAATGACTGCATAACCAGGATACCCGGACTGGGCATTGCCCTACCTTTTCCGAATCGACATGATTTTAGCCACTATGCCTGTACCAGACGAACTTATCTTATTGACGTTTCTGCGTTTCCGGAACTGCCACACCCAAAGTGGGATTGTTGGATGTACGACGAGCATAGAATGCACGAAGTTCTACCGAATGCAAGGCCAGCTGATACGAGCACGCCCAAGTGCAAAACTTTGATGCTTGTCGTACCTGATCGGAACTTGTGTCTCTTCTTTGAACCAGTCATTCTCATAGCATCGTCCTTCTGAGCACTAGCGGAATGAGCACACCCAATCCGTTCCTCATTGATGGCACGTGATGGTCAATCTCGCCTAGGTCCACTTGGCAAAACCGCGGAAAGGCCAGGAACGGCGTCGTGAAAAGTCCCGGCTCAGCCTCACCCATTTTACAGGTAAGCGAAGTGGGGCGGGTGCCTGACACCAAAAGTTTTTGTGAGAACGGATGAGTTCTGGTCCGTTGGTAGCGATCGTGATGAAGTCGGTTTTTGCTACAAACAATAGTGACGAGCGATTCCGACAAGACAACGCTGATGACGCGTGAGTCGATGTTTGGAAGCAAAGAGCTTTGTACGCAACTCCGACAGGCATGCTAAGCTGTCTATCGAGGCAAGCATGAAAAGGCAATGAAAGAAAATAAAACAGGCACTGGGGCCATCACGCGCTATCCTCGCCTAGTGGCGAAAGAGCGACAGGCTCTGTGACAGTGAAATCACCACAACGTCCCCGGTCTTTGTGACGTGATTCTCGAATCTAGGGCCGTTATCCCCGCCAGGCTCTCCACAACGTTGGTCATAACATTGATTGGATCAATGTCTTGAACTCGACGCACAATGTCTCCTTCTGCCTTGGCGTCCCGACGGAATGCCATAAGCCTAGTCGTAGTTTGCTGTCGTTGCAATCCTTTCTACTTTATAGCCCAGAATCGGGCACACGCTCACGTCCATGCCAAGCAACTACCTTTAAGATGACTTTGTGACCCACTGGTCATCCTCACTTTTGAAACGAGCGAACAAACAGCTGCAAGAAAGAAAGCTAGTAGCGACTCCCAGTTCTGCCAAGTGCCAGCCACAGCAAGTGCGTCGCAATGCATATGCAAAGGCTTTGCATAGGTTTTGCCGGCGCAGTGCTTTTCTTGCAAGTGCGTTCGGGTTGATCTTATGGCGACGAGGAGAGACATGGCGATTGATTTCCACGGCAGCCGTCTCGAAGAGCTTTGAGTATGGCGGTGAATGACTGTGCCTGACTATGGCAGACCGCTTCATAAGGAGCCAAGTGAGACGCTTGTGCAACATAAAGGGTTTTGAAGTGAGCAGGACGAGAAAAAGAAAAGGAAGCAAAAGACCGAAGACGCGGTTCGTTGGTGCAGTCCGTCGTCTTACCCTTTGGATCTCCGCTGTGTACATGTGAACGCGACGCTTTCCCTCGGCTATCCATGGTGGCTCTTTCGCCAGTGTACGCTCTGAAGGGGGAAAAGAAAGCATGGGCGGCGTGGTGGTATGAATTCCGACGATTTGCAAATCCCCGAAAGGAAAAGCGAAGAGTGCGAAGAGATCTGCCCTCGGTCCCCCACTATGATCCGTCAGGCTACTTCGTATTTGCCCGAAGCCTGGTAGACCTTCCTTTCACGCTGCCACGAGCAACATCGTCCATCAAAAATGCGCCGGAAAACCCGTAACGAGAAGCTGCGAGACGAAACTTCAGGATCTGTTTGTCGCGGCGCAGGTTTTCCTCGCAGCAAGTCGGACGGCTATGCTCATTGGTCGAACCGGAAAAGTCGGGCAGACACTTGCACATCCACGAGGATGGGAATGAGCGTTGCGCGTTCCGACTTTGAGGCATGCAAATCGGTGAAGCTCAGGTAGATCGTATGACCAGGCTCATTGGTTCGACGACATGGCGGGGGCTGGTGAGAAGTCATCAACAGTCTTTCAAGAAACGATCAATCATGCTTCGATATGCAATATGCGCAATGCCATGTCCACGGACATGAAAGAAAAAAAAGCTCCCTTGTGATTCGATACGAGATCCCCGAGTCCGGCACGAAATTCTCGTGGCACTGGTAGCACCGGACGATGCCGCCATGGTTGCCTGTGGTGGAAGTGGGAGGGCTCCCACCATTGACTGAACGAGCGATGGCCAAGTCGCGGCAAGCCCGAGCTGTGTCTGGGAACCCATCTTCGAACCATAGTCGTCATGATCGTGACGAACAAGTGAGAGTCTTGTCCTGTCCTCGAACCCGATTTGCAGCAAACACAATGGCCAAAACCTCACCTATTGTCCTCTTCATGCATATGCGAGGAGTTGTCGTCTTATTGCAGGACATGCTTCGTTCTCATGGACTTGCTGGAAGAAGTAATGCAGGCATAGATATCATGCGCTGTGCATCCTTGGCAAAGATTAGCCGGGAGGGGGGAGCTTTTTTGACTCGCCCGAAACATGAACGCACGTGCAGCGATGGCGGTTGTTGCTGTTTCATTGTGAACAGCTACCTCCGTGTGACAACAAGACGGACATCTCGATTGTACGCCAACCTATTGAATTCGGTCTTCTTCCTCTGACCCGCGTCGTGACTAAGTCGGGAAGAGGGAACGACGTATGGTAATCGGTGCGGTTCGGACTGGCCACGTAAGGCAGACACAAACACGGGCACCCAGAAAGCAACTGGCGAGTCGGCCAAATGTGCACATGCCAGTCTCGCTTCCAATGGTCAGTAAGTCACAGTTTGACCTCGCATAGAGAATAGTTTGATTCATGTTGTTGCGGGTTGACAATGCAAGCGAGGTTTCTCTTGATCCAGGGGCGACTCACACTTGCTGGTCGGAAAGCAGAATGGACAGACGGTCGCCCAAGTTGGATAGTTGTATCCAGATGGAGGGAAGGAAAGGTGGGAACTAAGAGTCGCAGGAAGCGAAGAGCAACATGGCACGATTGCAACTCCGGGCTACAGAGAAAAGGTCCGGTCGCATAGGGGAGTGCAATGCTTGATTTGGTGAAGAGGACGCTTCCGTTGGAAAGAAAATAGGATTAAAAAAAAAAAAAAGCCAAACCCCGGATGACACCCGGATGACGTTTCGCCAAGAATAGGAGGAAAAAAAAAAAAAAAAAATTGAGAAAAAAAAAAAAAAAAAAAAACAAGAAAAAATGGGCAATGTAGCCCAAAGATGGACAATAGGGGGTATCAAACTTTTCGCGTTTTTTGAAACGCGGCTTTTTCGAGGGCGTGTCGGTACGCCGATCCAACGGATCCGAGTGGGCGAAGGTGGCGAAGGTGTGAGATCGAACTTGTGATCATATACTTTCACTGTTGTGGAATGAACTCTGCTCCGCGTTTTCACAATACCGTCTCCCTGACCTGCGTTTTTAAAAACGCGCGCGCATTTTGCATTTTGCGCAGCTTATGTAAGCATTTTCGCGTTTTTAATAACGCGCCTTTGGAAAAATTGGCATTCTTAAAAACGCGAAACGTTTGATATCCCCTAATAGCGATTGCAGGTCTCGGCATAGATTGAACTATCAGATTCCTGCCACGCGACCGGCAGCTCGTCTTGGGACGCGTCGCTCCGTTTGTTCAGCGCAGCAGAATCACAGTCGACATTCGCAACAACCACAGATCAAATATCATCGAGTTTTGTGTACGCCGAATGGCGAGGCATGCGAGATTGAGTTGTACGTAACTTTGTCGGTTTGTGTATGTGCTGAGTCAATCGCAACAGTAAGAAACAGGGGCTTCCTCAGCAATTCTTTCCCCCTTTTGTCGAGGAAAAAGAGATGTGGCTTAATGGATATTGACGCCGAATAGCTCGGATAAGGATGGTTACAATCAACTGGTTGCATCTCATCCAGTTAGCCAGCCACCTCTTTGCCCAAGCTATGCAAAATTCCAACTCCTTGTCCTTTGTCCTTGTGCCTCTGCCTTTCGGGAGCATTCCGAATGGCGTGCCGATTGATTTGCTTTGAATTCAGCAACAAAAGATGTTCGAGATTGCTGCGGTGCTTGAAATGTGCATTCCCCTGTCGAAGCCACTTGACGGCGGGAAGTTATTTCAAGGGCAGGGCGCGATCGGAGCAGACTTTCGCCTTCGAATTGACATCGGGAAGGGCAGATACCGTTTGCAGATCCAGATGG